ACCTAGATGTAAAACAGACTTGTCTGTGAGATCTCTCTTTCCCTTGCCACTTTCTAAGTGGCTGTCTTATTGACTGTACCTTCACAAACTTTCTCAAAGTACTTCCTTCCGCAATTTTAATTCTACAGCTTCTGTACTAATCTAGGTCCTTGAAGAAGACATTACAAATCAATGAAGAAAAATTAGGTTCTTTGATAAATGATGCTAAAATAACCATTTGTCCATGTGAGGGAAAAAAAAGACACCTACTTTAAAACATAAACAAGTTCTAAGCTGGGTGCAGTGGCCCATGCTTGTAATCCCAGCACTTTGGAAGGCCGACATGGGTGGATTACCTGAGGTCAGGAATTCAGACCTGCTTGGCCAACATGATGACACCTCGTGTCTAGTAAAAATACAAAAATTAGCTGGGCGTGGTGGCTCACGGCTGTAATCCCAGCTTCTAGGGAGGCTGAGGCAGAAGAATTGCTTGAACCTGGGAGGCAGAGGTTGAAGTGAGCCGAGATTACGCCATTGCACTCCAGCATGGGTGACAGAGCAAGACTCCATCTCAAAAAAATAAAAATAAATAAAACATATACATGTTCAATGTGAAACATAAAACTTCTAGAAGGAGTATAGGATAATATGTTTATAACTTTTGTTTATTAAAGATTTCTTTGACGCAAAATTCAAAAACCATAAAAGTATTATTAATTTGACTATATTAAAATTAAAGGCACAATTAACAAGTAAAAATAGTGGCCTAGGAGAATATATTTGTAACACAGAAAGCCAACAAAGCAGTAGTATCTAGAATTATAAAGATTTCCTTCATATCAAATAGCCCTATAGAAAAATAGAGAAAAAGAATGAATGGGAAATTCACAAAAGAGGAAACAAATGGGCCAATAAACTTTGATTAAATGTTCAATCTTAGAATCAATCAGGGAAATATAAATTAAAACTACAAAGAAGTACGATTCATATTGACGAGACTGGTTAAAAATTTTAAAGTTTGACAATATCAAATCTTGATAAGGATGTTAAGAAATTCTTATATACCACTTGGCATGATCACTCTGGAGAGCAAATCTAAAAATATGTTTATCTTATGACCCAGAAATTCCACTGTAATGTATCTAGTATATCTGACGTAACCCTAGTTAAAATATTATACATGCACAAAGAGATACGTAGAATAATATTTAAAACATTATTTGTAATTAAAATAAAACAAGGAGTTTTAAGTTCTCAGAAACAAGCCAGATGACCATCAACCAAAGAAAGAAAGTTTAAATAAAAAGAATATATTATAAAATGGACTACTATTCAGCTGATTAAATGAATAAGCTAGAGCAACATGTATGGTTACATAGATAATCTCTAAGTCACTTTTCTTTCTTTTTTGAGACAGAGTCTTGCTCTTTCGCCAGGCTGAAGTGCAGTGGAACGATCTTGGCTCACTGCAACCTCTGTCTCCTGGATTCAAGCGATTCCCCTGCCTCAGCCTCCTGAGTAGCTGGGACTACAGGCACACACCACCACACCCAGCTAATTTTTTGTATTTTAGTAGAGACAGGGTTTCATCATGGCCAGGATGGTCTCAATCTCCTGACCTCATGATCCGTCTGCCTCGGCCTCCCAAAATGCTGGGATTACAGGTGTTAGCCAACGCGCCTGGCCTCTAAGTCACTTTTAAATAAAAATGTTGCAGATGAATATATATATCTTTATATTAAAATATCGTTAACAAAAAATTTAATAAATGTAAAACAATATGTGTTGTTTATGGATATATAAAATATGGGTATGATACACTAATTCAGGATGGTGATTGCCACTGGGAAGGAAGAAAAGGAGTAAGATTGGTGAAAGATAACATATTGGTGTGTGTTATCTTTCTAATTATATACCTAATTTTCTTAAGCTCAGTGGTAACACATGGGTATTTACTATATTATTCTCTATATTTCTGTATGCCTGAAATTTTAACATTAATTTAACAAAATCAACATATTACTAAAGTACTATTTCTTCAGCCTTAATTCAAGACTCTCCATAGTATTATTCTAATCTACTTTTCTAGCCTCTTCCTTCAGTATTTCCTATGGCAGTTTCCCAAAACTTAGAGACTTATCCACCTCTTTCACCATTTTCGTTATATAGCCTTCTCTATCATGACTAATGAAGATTTTCATCATTTTTAACTTAAATAGCCTTGTACAAATCAATAAATCACAAATTTAATATGCCAGTTAATGTAAGTATTAAAATGTTTGTCCTAGTGCCACCTAAAAACATCAAATGTCACATTTTGGGTTGCCTTGTCTTATGCCAGTGGTTCTCAAATTTGGAACACAAGATTGTGTGGGAGGTTGTTAGGAAGGGAGACTCTGAGGCCACACCTCTAGGGATTCTGATTCAGGCAGTCAGAAGCAGAAATCCTGCCTAATATGAAGCCTTGGCGCCTACCAGGTTGGACTACTTGCCATTCTCTAGACAAACTCTCCACTTTCCTTCTATACTTTTCCTTTCGATATTTCCTCAGCTTGAAGTAACCCTCTCTTTCCCTAAGCCAGTGGAAATTAAGACTTGACTTTAAAGCCCTTCTTAAAAATGACCATCACAATAAAGTACTTTGACTTAGATGTGACATCTCTCTCATTTCAACCCTCTTCTTTCCCCTATCAATTTATTTCTATTTCCATATGGATGCTTATCATATTCAATGTAATATATGTCTGCATGTATTATTCCCTCTCCTGAAGCATAAATGTTACTTGAAATTGGAAGCTTGATACTTTGTTCAAAAGCAGAGATTGTATCTTGGTCATTTTATGCTCTGTATATGATAGTTATGCAGATACTTGCTAGACTGAACTCTGCTAAACACTGAATTGGTTTAACAATTTTTATTAATATTTTAAAAACATACAGCATGAGTTATTCATTCACAGGGTATTATGGATTAAACATGAGACTCTAAACTACCAGCTTCATTTTCAAAATGAGAAAACTGAAAAGATATATAGAAACAAATAATTTTGTTATTTTAATTTTTGAAGGTTAAAAAAAATGGTTGAACTAAAACTGCCAAATTCAGTTTTTAAGAAAAAAAGGCAAGTGCTTAACTTAAAACCTTCCAGGCAAAAGAAACTGATGGTGTTATTAACTGACATGGTGAGTTTTTGATACTGCTACAAAAACCTATTGACTTCAGAAGAACACTATTAGTAAAGCAAAGTTCATTTATTCTTACAAAATTCTCAGTACTTTCAAAAGACATTTCAATATAATTTCTCTCTGCCTTAATGCATATTATTCTGATGCTCAAGAGTAATAATTTCTAGGTATTTTTCCAATGTAAAAGCCATAATAACTGTCTTTAATTAGAAAATATCAACACATAACTCATTTGTGAATTTTGGGTTTTTTTTAATTTGGTAATAATAATTTGGTTTGCTTCTATTCCAGGAATAAAGTGATTTACTGTTTTAAACATATTCATTTTCATCCAGATAGAAAATAAATGAATAGAAACAGAGAAGTGGGACTTTTTAATGCAAAATGTTCATCAACATCAATAAATATCACAGTATTATCTGTATTTGTATACTTTAGCATATACATGATACTTTATAAAGACAAAATATACAAATGCAGTAATAGGAGGAAAAATGAAAAATACATATTTTATTATGCTCACCTGGCCTTCCATGTTGAAAAAGGAGAATGAAAAGAGAAGCACTGTGAGAAGTGAAGAATATGGAATTGTTTCCACATATCTCATTTGCTCCTTTCCTCATTCATTTTTCTGTCATATTCCTGTTAAATTTCCTCTTTCATACGGCAGTTCAAGTAAACTAAACCTAGCTTATATGAAACATTTATTTAACTTTATCATTCCATTTTTACACTGTAAAAATAAAATTTTAACTTACTATGTCCATTTTCCTAAATAAAAGTAACTGGAAATAAAGCAGTAATAAGTTGCTATTATATATGAGCTCCTGTTAAGAATTCTGAGGTCAGTAGTTTGAGGCCAGCTTGACCAACACAGAGAAACCATGTCTCTTTTAAAAACACAAAAATTAGCCTGGCATGGTGGCGCATGCCTGTAATCCCAGCTACTCGGGGGGCTGAGGCAAGAGAATCGCTTGAACCCGGAGGCGCAGGTTGGTGAGTGGAGATCACGCCACTGCACTCCAGCCTGGGCAACAAGAATGATACTCCGTCTCAAAAAAAAAAAAGAATTCCGAAAAATGACTAGTATTGGTCTTATGTTTTACTTACCATAAAATGATAGCCTAACTATTGATACTAATGAAGAAAACTATCCAACTATGCTTCCTTCTTTAAAAGGTAGCCTTTTTTTGTTTTCTGAAGTACTAAATATAGACAGATACTAAGGTTCCATAAATGTTTTAGCAGTACTCAAGGACCAAAAAAAGGTAGAATTTAAAACGTAATGAGAAGAAGTTAAATAAACCTCTTTCAACAATCCTATAAGTAGAATAGATCAGATTAGACAAGCTTATTGGAAGGTAACAACACAGCTCATTTGATAAAGCAGCTCTGAGAAATCCAAAAATACCATTTCTCTTTTTAAAAAAATCAAAGAAGCACTTGGACTAACAAGAAATAATGCACAATTTGGCTTCATCAAATACTTCATTAATTTTTTTCTACCCCTAAGGGATTGCCCTTTTAAAATCTTCTTCAAATAAAATATAACCTAATTGCTTGCACCGGTCTACAGTTTGCAAAAGGATTTTTATTTCAACAGTGCCACCTAGTGGACCAATCAATACTTTCAACTGGTCACTAGTTGACTTCACTTAGCTCAAACACTAAGATTCCTCAAATAGCTTTATTTTTCAGTTCACAAGACTCCTAATAACATTCAAGAGGAAATTTTATAAAAAATATCATAATTTACAGGTTTTTGCCTTCTGATAGGCTGTCTCATAAAATTAGGTCATTTACAAATATTATAATAATATTTTAAACAAAGGTACCTTGGTGATTTCTTCAGAAGCTCGTTCGAAGTCCTGAACATTTCGACAGTAAAATCCTATTGTACAGCTAGGATCCATTTTTCGAAATGACATCTTTTTGGGAGAAGGGCAGTGGAATGTCTGTAATTTTAAAAGTTCTTTAGGATTAATTTATCTTTATTTGATAGATAAGCATATATAAAACTATTATTTAAAATTTTTATCTAGCTTTTTTCCATAACTATAAACATGATTTCCAAAGGGTGCTTTAGTTCATCCTATGCAGATGGTCCTCCCCATTCTGCAACGCTGTAAAATACAAGAGCCAACATTTGTGTATATTTAATTCACCAAATCTCAACCTTATGTGACATTTGTGCCACTCTGCAAAAGAAAGGAAGTGTGTCAAAAGTGGTATGCATTTCTAACACCTGATAACATGAAAAAGGCATGCACAGGCTAGTACAAGACTTAGACTCAAGTTAACCATTTCTATTAAACTGCAGTTAAGTCTGTTTTGTTGGGGATTTAGGGTTAATGTTTATAAACCTTTTAACAAAGATATCAAGACTTTTTAAACAAATACACAGATTCAGGTAAATGTTCTATACTGACATAAAAAGAGGTCAACTTGAGGGTTTTAGCAATTCATACAATTAGTACATAACTGCATATTCTTCAACCTTCTAGTGTGCTTTAATTCTCATTTGTTCTCAGGGAACAGGCTGGAACAGGTGAAACCCGTTCCATTATGGTCCCTGCCCTCCTTCTCATCAGTCCTTTTGTCTCTTTAGTTCATGTTTCTCCAATAGTCACAGTGCCACAGATATAAATGGGCTGGGTAGGCTGCCCTAGTTTCTCTACTGTCTTGCTAATGGATTTGGCTATTAGTAGAGTTTGGCATCTTTAGGGAATACAAAAATAGAAAAAGGGCAGAATATAAAAGTAATCATTGCAATCTTTTTGTTCTTCACAATCACACTTTAGTACTATGTTTAAAATATTTTTTAATGCTTAAATGCTTAGCCTGTCCTTAAAAATCACTGATGTGACCAAGTCCTTTGCTGTATGTAGAAAAAAAAGTTTGTGTTAAAAAGAACATAAGACTACGTATTCATATTTGTATAAATAAACTAAGGATATACAAAAATTAGCCAGTTTGCGGGAAAGGGAGAGAACCGAGCAGATGGGAGACAGGTGTGAAAAATTTTTGAATTAAAGAACAAGCTCAATTAAGAAATAATCTAGGAAGTGGGTGCTGTGGCTCCCATCTATAATCCCAGCTATTTGGGAGGCTGAGGCAGGCGGATTGCTTGAGCACAGAAGTGAAGCTGAAGTAAGTAAGATATGATCATGCCACTGCACTCCAGCCTGGACAAGAGCAAGGCTCCAACTCCATTAAAAAAAAAAAGAAAAAAGAAAAGAAAGAAAAAATGTAGGCTGGACTTGAACTCATAAATTTATAGTTTCCCTACATTCAATGTCTAAAACTAAGGGATTTTTAACTTGATACTATCTATTAAAATGTGGAAAAAATAAGTTGTCGTATTTGTTATGTTCATGGTGAGATCAACTAAAATCACTCTTTTCTCTCCCTGTACATACTAGTGACCCGTATCAATTTGTATCCCGTATCATCACCAAAAGGCAGGCAAAACGTACAGATTCAAGCTGCTTTTTTTCCCAATGAAAAGTTCAACTACATAGAAGATTCAATCCAACAATATGTCAAGTTAATAAAGGCCAAAAAATGAGTTTACAAAACTATGACTTCTGCAAAATGCTTGGCTAACTTACTTTATATAGTGAGATTCAACCTAACTAAACTAGAACCTCCATGGCACTAGTCAACACAAATATAATCTTAGTTGGACTTTTCCTGACATTGTTCCTCCTGTTATGTTTGCAAAGAAATATTTAAAACAGATCTGGAAAAGCATAGAAAAGCTAAACAAACTTGTTAACAATTTCCAAGAGTATGAGTATATTAGGGTATACGGCACAGTTCTAGATCATATTTATAACTTATTCTACATATATTGTGTCTATAAATAACCATTTGCCCAGCTCATTCCAAAGACAATACCAAGAAATGTTTCTTTTTTATTACCTGGAGATAAGAAGGAGGGCCAAAAAGTTTGTACGCGGTCTAATAATATATTTTTGAACTCATTTAATAGGGTATCCTATATTATACTGAAGCACTGATAAAAGTTTTCATGTAAGAGCTTGAGCCAGGCTCATGCCTGTGCCCAGGAACTCAGGAGGTTGAGGCGGGAGAACTGCCTGAGGACAGAGGTTTGAGACCAGCTTGTGTAGCATGGCAAGACCTCCATCTCTAAAAAAAAGTTTTTAAATAGCCAGGTACAGCAGCATTCACCTATATATAGTCCCAGCTACTTAGGAGGCTTAGATGGGAGAATTGCTTAAGCCCAGGAGTTTGAGGACCCAGTAAGCTCTAATGGTGCCACTGCACTCCAGCCTGGGTGACAGAACAAAACTCCGTCTCTAGAAAATAAAAATTTTTTAAGTTTGAAAAGCTTTTCATGTAGGAACCAATAATACTAAACCACAATAGTCTTATTACTAACTCACTGTATTGACTCAATCATCATAGATAAGAACAAATACTAAATTGCTATTCATGGTTGTTTTAATATCTACAAAGAACTTTAAAAATATTCACAAAAACACAGATATAAATCTCTAATCACTGAAACTGCTATTGGGTATTGTTGCGTGAGTACTGGGATTCATACAATAGAGAGGCATTTTATATCATTTAAACTTTTTTTTTTTTTTTGAGATGGAGTTTCACTCTTGTCGCCCAGGCTGTAGTGTAATGGCACGATCTCTGCTCACTGCAACTTCTGCCTCCCAGGTTCAAGCAATTCTCTTGCCTCAGCCTCTCGAGTAGCTGGAGTTACAGGTACACACCACCACGCCTGGCTAATTTTTTTGTATGTTTAATAGAGACAAGGTTTCACCATGTTGGTCAGGCTTATCTCTAACTTCTGACTTCAGGTGATCCACCCGCCTCGCCCTCCCAAAGTGGTGGGATTACAGGCGTGAGCCACTGCACCCAGCCATTTAAACTAAAGTCATATTATTTTGTTCACTCAAGAAGATTCTAAGGCAAATTAACTTACAATTCACAATTATTGTCTACTGCAGAACAAGTTAAACTTTCAAATATTTTCCTAATTCAGCTTATGCACTTCAGTTTTTTTATTTTTAAAATTCTAATGATTAGTAAGAGGAGTAGCTTCTACTTGACAAACACATTTTAAGGATTATTCACTAGATATACTTCTGTAACAGTGTTTCTGGAAAAACTGGCCAGGGAAAATCAATTCCCATTCATTTCATTTTTGATACATTATTTACTAATTGCCTTAATAGTTATTAGGCACCTAACAAAATGACAGGCACTATTCTAGGCTTATTGTTTAGAATAGTGAAGTCTAATTATCTAAACATACAAAAACAATACTGAAACATATGCTTGTAGGTACAGCTATGCTATTTTGGTGATTTAGATGAAGCTTCCTATGACAGTTAATTAGCGAATATCCTTACTAAAAAGTACCTACTGCTAATTAACCAGGTATGGTGGCACACACCTGTGGTCCCAACTACTTGAGTGGCTAAGGTGGCAAGACTGCTGAAGCCCAGGAGGTCAAGGCTACAGTGAGCTGTGATTGCACAGTACACTCCAACCTGAGTGGTAACAGAGCAAGACTCTATCCTCCACCCAAAAAACAACACAAAAAAAACTTCTACTAACTGCAGTTCACATGTATAATTTGTAAAGGGTATTATCTTTCACTGATGAATTCACTCATCCAATCTATCTAGATGCCCAAATCACGTAATTCTAATAGCTTTACTGCCACTACTTCTGAATTTCCCAAGAGAGATTAAAACGGTTATCACTGTATGAACCTCCCAAAATCCGACACTTGGAATTGGGGACCCAGTAATCAGAACAAACTAACATGTTTATTAATAAAGCTTTTCTTACATACCCTCACTGCCAAAGCCCAATTGAGCTCTCTTCTCATTCCCTTCTAATTTCAAGTTGTTCTTTGATGACTTTTGTTTAAGGTTGTTCATGCTGCTCCTTTCAACCCCATTTTCTGTTTGAAAATTACAGTGTGAGTTTATTCATTATAATTTGCCTTCACAGTGAACCATGTGCTCCATTCCTCAGTCCTAACCTGGCATATCTTCACTGCTACACTCAGGATCCAAATGTAACTGCCTATGTTCACTTCACAATGTGTTAAAAACTCAGTGAAGACAGCTAAAAATGAGGAAGTCTCTTAAAAGCTAGTATAGAAATTCAATAATATATATCAATTTATTTCAGAAGAAAATGTCACAAGAATTAAACATTAACACTAACATATACAATCAAAGCACTTGGAACCACAGAGAAAAAAAGATTTCAACAGAGGACTCCAAAGAGCTTAGGACAGTCCCTTGTACCTATAAAGAGCTCATTAAAAAAGAAAGAAATTAGTCTGATTTGGTTTCAAAATGTTAACAGTTCTATTCTAGAAATGTAGGAATTCAACATCATAAGAACAACAAAAGATGCAATCTGTTTAAATCTCTTCTTCAATCTCAAATATTCTGGTATCAACCTACTTCCTTAAAATTTCACAATCTATCAGATTTAGGGCACTTTCGGAGGACTACCAGCAATTATTCATGTGGAATCAACCGATGATTAAAGATTTCAATTTCTCCATCTATTAACCAAAAAAAATACTGATCCAAACAGTTTCCTACAAAAGTGATTTTAATAATTGAAGTATAAGGGTGGTTTTAGAATATGCATACAATTTTTTACATTAATCAACTACAAAATTTCACTAGCATGTAAACATACAAGCAGTATGGCAAAGCAAGGATGGTTAGTAAGACAGGGTACTTAAAACACCTTCAATTGGAGTATTATCAATTTAAGAGATGATAAAAAGCCAAAAATGAAATTTTATTCCTGTACAACTTTATATAATTTTTATATTACACTTTCATAGGGCAACAAGTGATGCTACTAACTAAAATAAATCTCTTCATTGCCAAAAAACAAAAAATTCTAACAGAAATTATCCTCACACATTAAGATATTCTACCACAATCTCAAAAATATAACATCTATAAATCATTCCATAAGTGTTCCAATATATAAGAAATGTTTCTGTGCATTTAAGAAGTAAATTCTAACAAATTTTACCTTACATAATAAAATCTTAAAATCAATTGTTCCTTTCCATTTTTACTATCACCAGCCTACTTCAAACCTTTATTATTAATAACTCCCTCCTGGAGTGATGCAACAGTCTCCCAATAATGAGCTGAAGCCTCATTTCTAATTTTGGTTGTATACACATAACCAGGATATTCATTCACTTGATATCTTTGCAGTCTCTCAAAATATCAGATGGATACTTTATACTGGCCAAAATAATCAGACCAATAATCTTTTAATTTGTTATTTAGGTAATACTTACTAAGAACAATTTTCCGTCTAAATCTCAAGTACCTACTGTTTATAAGCAGTCAATTTGGCACTGATCTACTGGAAATGTAACTTGGACACAAGAATCAGTGCTACAAGGCCACAGGACAGAAAGAGAGTTACAATGTGGTTCACATGGCACAATTATTCTGTAGTGCCTTCCCCAGTATCAATCAGTCAACTAGCAAGTATTTATTAAGGCACAAGATACTATGAAAGACGAAAGTAGACATGAACTCTGGCCTCCGAATGCTTATACTTTAATTGAGGTATTAGTTCACAAAGGATGCCAAAATGTTTTACAATGTACCTTTCCAAACCAGATTTTAACCCTGTGATTTATCTATTTTCATATTCTACCTCTTAAATACTATTAGGTATTAATATTAGCTGGAAAGCAATTACTAAAACAAAGCATTCAACTACATTTCCAACTCATCAAGCCCTTGAAAATTAGTGACCCATGACACTCAAGTGATTTAAATTATTTTATTCTGTAAAATTAGTCTATAAAAGCATCAACTGGGAAAACAAAACCATGGAACAACTACATGTTTCATTTATGTACTCTCAAATTTTTCTGAATTAAAATACTGAATCACAAAATGACCTATATAAAGGTAAAGAAGATATTAAAAAATGAAAACTGAAAAAAAAAATTAGAAACCCAACTAAGCTCTTGAAAGCTTCTTAGCTAAAGGCTAAGATTTAATTACTGTACTCAAAGCAAAAAAATTTAGCAGACAATCTCATTAAGTCGTTTTGTTACTCTAACCCATCTATCCCCTTCTATTTTTCCTTTTATTTTTTTAAACAGGGCTAACATTTTAAATTCTTCAGTACTGTTTAGCTGTCGTTATACAAAATTACTTGGAGACTTGATCATTTATTTTCATATGGCCAGGGTTTCTAACAAGTTGGAGACAAAGATAAATGAAGAAGAAAGTATATCATAAATTAAAATTCAGCAACAAAGTACTTAACCTTTGACCACTGTGTTAATTATGGTTCTATAAATCAGTAAAATATTGATTATAACCTGTAATTATAATACTATAAAAGCACAGCTACCTAGCATATCTCTAAATAATTAGTTTACTTCATAAGGTAAGAAAACAGTACCAGCTCTTTATCCATAGTACCTCAAGAGGGAAATCCTTTATGCTGACATCTACAAAAGATTGGCAGTAATGAGGATCCATGTAAATCAAACTGTCATCTACAAGGACAAAACAGAAGACAAGTAATTCAAAAAACACCTTATTATTACACTGCTTACAATCCAATTTCTATGTAGAACAGCTGAAAAAAATCTGGGAGTAACAGCTTGCCAGACTGATACTCATTGACTGAAACATAGGTTTGCACAGGATAGATTAACTTTTGCATAATCAAATATGCTTGTATAAGCAGAATTTTTATAAAGTGATGAGACTGTCATTTAATTTTTGGTGATAAAATTACTTTCACAAACACACAATTATATTCTACAGTTTGCATATGAAAAATGTATTGCACTTCTTTATCTTGACAGGAAGAACATATTGCTTGTCATTTTATCATCAACTTGCACCACTAAAACCGGTAAAAAGTAAATATGTAAATAGCAACTGCCAGAATGTGGCAGCAATGTCTTCTGAAGTTTAGTGCAACCAATAAATTATGCCTTGTTTATGCAATAACAGAAATTAAACATACATTTTACAGAATCTAATTATGTTGTGGACTAAATGACAAATGAGTGGCTATAAGCAGGACTGATGAATGTATAAGGTACTCGCTTTGCTCTGTTAATCATTCCATTTCTAGATAATCCCATATTAACTTTCTGACTTTTAAAAGAAAACAATGAAGAAATACATTTTACTAAATCACTAACCTTGAAATCCAGCAAAGTAATATGACTGTTTAGGTTTGCCACCAATAATACCCACACAATATTCCAGGCTTAAAATACCCTGCCAAAAAAAATTAATACAGATTTAGTCAAGAGATAAATGATAATTATTCAAAGCAAACAAATTACTAATATTAGTAGTTCCCAAATTTACCACTACCAGTTATCATTTATATTACATTTAAACCCAGGTTCTGAAATCCACTTGTCTTACAAACTGCCTTCCTTTTCTTTAAATCATTCAACATTAACATAACAAATCAAATATTTTGATCAGCATGTTGCTCAACAACATTAAACAACTACTACTTAGAGACATAATCAATTTTACCACCTAAAGGCAATAAAATTCCTGTCAAAGCCAATACACTTAGCCTTCTAGTTAGTTGGTGCAGCCTCACTGTGATCAATGTAAAATTTTCATCAGGCTTTTTGAAATGCTAAAAATAGTTCTTAAACCTTATTGCTGTTTTCACTGGGCCTTGAGTCAGAATCGCAAACTGAAAGCCATTTTCTAATCACTGGCATTCGCTCAAATTTTTTATGCTACTTCATTTGAAATAAATATAAAGAGTAATGAAAATAACTTAATCCAAGGAAAATTATTATTATTATTGCATTTAAGGCCAATTTATTTTACTAACCATAAAATATCAGGGACATCACAATAAATTTTTTAATACACCCCTCAGCAATCTATTCTAAGCAGAACTCTATTAAAGTTGGGCCAAATTAACTCTATATCTTTTTAAAAACTCAGTACTCAGAGCCAACAATCCCTTAAAAAAAAAAAAAAAGTGTCCAATTCAGTTTAAAATGTCCAGTAATCAACTAATGTCTTACCAATAGTTCCTGCGATAATTCTGATAAATCATATAAAACATTAAAAATGATAAAGTATAGGTTATAAAATCCCAAAACTATTAAACAATAGTTAAGCTTTCCTTCTCTTAAATGAGAGGATGTTTTGAAATCTAAAAGATATACAAATAAAGAATATATGGACAAATATTCTTTTTCCTTTAACAAGTAACCAAACCATAGAGAACACACACACACACAGAAAATATAGAAAAAAAGTAAAACTTTTCCCAAATTCCAACACCCAGAGCTCATCATTATTAATATTTGGGGAATACCTTCTTGACATCTGTCTATATTACATATATACACATACAGATTTACAAATACAATGTTATATATGTGAAATCACACAACATATGCCATTGTAACCTTTTGTTGTTCATTATGTCATGAATATCTTTTCCTATCAATAAATAGAGATCTATATTATATTAACAATATGTAGTAGCTGAAAAATATTCTATTTTATGACAACAACAAAATGTGCTTTAAAACCTCCACAATAAATATTTAAGTAGTTCAAGTTCTCACTGTTGTAAGTAACCCTCCGCTATGGTTTGAACATTTTTATTCCCTTCAAAATTCATGTGTGGGAACTTAACCCCCAATGCAGAGTGTTAAGAGCTAGAGCCTTGGGGGAGGTGTTTAGGTCAGGAGGGCAGAGCTTGCATGAATGAGTTCAAGGCTGCTATAAAAACGACTTGCTGGAGTGGGTTCTCTCTCCTGCTCCTCTGCAACATGAGGACAGAGTTCACCCCATTTTGGCCCTTCTGCCTTCCACCATGTGAGAACACCTCATCAGATGCCAGTGCCTTGATCTTAGATTTCCCATCCTCCAGAACTGTGAGAGAATAAATTTCTGTTCTCTATAAATTACTCAGTCTCCAGTATTGTTATAGCAGAAAAAAAAAAAAAAAAAAGACTCAGACACCCTCTAAAGAACAACCTTGTACATTTTCAGTCTTATAAAAATATCATAAAGGTTTTTCTGAAACGGAGAGCTGCAACTGAAAAAATTAAATAAAACAGAGAAGGTATATCAGGTTAAAATCTTAGAGATAATTAAAAAATAAATTAAGCTAAAATTGTACCAAAAAACTCACTAAATAGTAATAGAGTTACTTATCAATTAAGAATTCAACTGATTTCCCCCTAAATAAAAATCCTTAATAAAATTAGAGAGTGCCTTACTTTAACTTGAGGCAATCTGATCAGTTGAAATACCATGTTTATATCATAGAGACCTGTGAGGCGGTGGAAGTTCTATGTCTCTTACAGCTAAGAAAAGAAAGAAAAATAAATATAGCAAGGATTGTCACTGACTCTCCTCAGAAAAAGAATGGTTCTAATGGAAGAAAGACTTTGGTTCTTGACATCTGTATTTCCCTTGCAACGCATTAGAGCAGGTTTAGCTTAGAAGCGGATTAGGAGCTAGAATGCCATTACATATAAGAGGCTGTATCTTTGGAATGAAACACTTTTCAGTTCCTAAAACAGCTTCTTCACAGTTATCTAGTGGTGAAAATTTATTGAGCTGTATCCATGAAGCAATAAATAAGACTGAAGTAATCAGTCAAAAAGAAAAGTCCTAATTTGTCTCACTGAAGAAAAAGAACATATTGGACTTTCCTCATTCCAGGCCCTTAAAACTATAAACATAAATAAATAAATAAACCTCCTGTGGACCAAATTTCCTTCTTCTCATACAATGTAGCAGGATGCTATGTTGGCACTATCTCTGAAATACTGTGGCATTACCTTGTTTAATAAATTTGAAAACTAGAACTGAATAGTAAATTTTAGACTCACCAATGTACATTGGTTTGACAGGCAAAAATACAATGGCTGACCATATATGAAAAAAAGAAAAAAATTATTTTTCTTTCATGGCTAATGAACACATTACTTTTACACTTCTAAGTGAATACCTCTTTCCATGCTCTGATTTAGGGTTTGTTTGTTTTTTTTTTGTTTTGTTTTTTTTTGAGACGGAGTTTCGCTCTTGTTACCCAGGCTGGAGTGCAATGGCGCGATCTCGGCTCACCGCAACCTCCGCCTCCCGGGTTCAGGCAATTCTCCTGCCCCAGCCTCCTGAGTCGCTGGGATTACAGGCACGCGCCACCATGCCCAGCTAATTTTTTGTAGTTTTAGTAGAGACGGGGTTTCACCATGTTGACCAGGATGGTCTCGATCTCTTGACCTCCTTGTGATCCACCCGCCTCAGCCTCCCAAAGTGCTGGGATTACAGGCTTGAGCCACCGCGCCCGGCCAGGCCTGATTTAGGGTTTGACTTAACCATCCCCTCTGGCCAAACATAACACCTATCATATAACCTCCTCCACTTAACCATTTCAGCCATTTTTATCTGATCACTAGAAAATCATAATGTTTCAATAGTCACTGATCTCGCACTTCAGTGGTCTATGGTGTAAATCAAGTTAGTAGAAGCTCAAGGAAATATTATCTTTCAAAACGTTCATGTTTTAGAGAAAAGTATGAAAAACAATAAACTTAGAGTCAAGAAAAATCTAGTCTCTGCTACCAGTTTGCTATCTGAACTTGAATATATCACTTAACTTCTCTATGTCTTTTCTGTTTCATAAAGACAATCCAGTTCCTAGCTACTGTGAGAGAAAAATGAGATCAATTTATATCGAAACATATTGCACAAATTAGGGTTAAAAAATATGTACTGAGTAACTCCTATATGTTAGGCACTAAGGCTTCATTCACTTTACCAGCTTTACCATAGTTTGTTTCACTACAAAAAGAAAAGTTCTAATTTGTCTTGCTGAAGAAAAAGAATATACTAGATTTTCCTCATTCTAGGACCTTAAAAAAATTAATATAAATAAATAAACCTCCTGTGGTAAGCGCTAATAAAACACACCAAATTTCCTTCTCCTCATACAGGATGCTACATGTCACTACAAATCACGGTTAAGCTGCTAACCATGAATCACTCAAGAGCATTAGGCAGTGCTAACATCAGATAAATACTATCAATATCACCAAATAGCAAAGTCCTCAGCCAGATGAAACATGCCTAGAAGCCATCTGTAGCCCATTCCACCAGGAATGAAGCTTTGGCTAAAGCAATCAGTTTCAAGACTAGATCGGTTTCTAATCTTCAAATGGTAGTAGAGAAGGCAAAAATAATACAGTTGAGATTTGATTAGAACCCGCCTAGAGATGACAACATGTCAGAAGTCTCAAAACCCTAAACAGATTCTCTAGATGAAGTGGCTCACAGCTTCCCACGTTCCACCAATAACTGTACTCAAGATACATATCAGACACCAAAACCCCACCTTTATTTGTAAGATTAAGATGTCATTGCTATATTACAGTATTGTTACTATTAGTAACAAATGTGCTTCCAAAATCTTAGATAACTATTAAGAAAAGCCAGTATACCAGCTAAAAAACTTCCATGTATCATATGTTAAAAACAATTGCTCTAGATTTCTAGAATTAGCACAATCTAGCCTGAGAAAGATGTTCTGACTAAATATATAGAGACCATAATATGGGATTAATGCCTCATAGAGGGAACAAATTGTTATTAATCATAAAAGACAGATCCAGACTTTATTTCAACATTACTATATCCCATAACACTCCATTTAAAGAAGAATTCCGGACAAGCGCGGTGGCTCACGCCTGTAACCCCAGCACTTTGGGAGGCTGAGGTGGGCAGATCACAAGGTCAAGAGATCAAGACCATCCTGGCTAACATGGTGAAACCCTGTCTCTAATAAAAATACAAAAATTATTCTGGTTTTTGGAGATTTCAAAATAAAAAATTTATATATATTTATAAATATTTATAAATATATATTTATAAATATATATAAATATATATTTATAAATATATATATACACACACACACACACAAAATAGCTGGGCGTAGTGGTATGTGCCTGTAGTCCAGCTACTTGGGAGGCTGAGGCAGGAGAATCACTTAAACCCGGAAGGCAGAGGTTGCAGTGAGCTGAGATCGCAATCGCACCGCTGCACTGCAGCCTGGTGACAAAGCAAAACTCCATCTCAAAAAAAAAAAAAAAAAAGAAGAAGAAGAATTCTAACTATAGCTGCGATAACAGACTACTAAAAAGTGAAGAATTTTGCCAGGCACAGTGGCTCACGCCTGTAATCCCAGCACTTTGGGAGGCTGAGGTGGGCGGATCATGAGGTCAGAAGTTTGAGACCAGCCTGATCAACATGGTGAAACTCAGTCCCAACTAAAAATACAAAAAATTAGCTGGGAGTGGTAGTGCATGCCTGTAATCACAGCTACTCAGAAGGCTGAGGCAGGAGAATTGCTTGAACCCAGGAGATGGAGGTTGTGGTGAGCTGAGATTGCGCCACTGCGCTCCAGCCTGGACAATAAGAGCAAAGCTCTGTCTCAAAGAAAAAAAAAAAAGTGACGAATTTTATTGAAACTATGAAAATAATCTAAAAACTTCCACCTTAATCATAGAAACTATTTCAAAGGTATTTTATCCTAAGTAAGTGTCTTGGTACCCAAAACAAGGTAACATAGTTACATAGGTTTTTTTGGTGCAAGAAACCAAACAATGTGTCCCAAAAAAGAACAGATTTTCAACTGGCTAAGATGAAAAAAACAAAATGGGAACCCCTCAAAATACTATCTTCATATCTTCATTATTTCTATCTACATAAATAATCTCATCTTTTATTGACATCATGGTGTCACAGCAAACATAGCATAAGATAACATAGCAGTAATAGAGGGTTTTTTTCAGTAATTAATGTGATATAGTTTAATGCTAGTTTTATGAATAAAGATACATACTTAAAATTACAAATAAGAATAATGAAACTGTAACTATATTACAGGTTATGATTATTGCTGTATCTGTGTCTCCCTGATTAGCTACAAAAATTAAAAGGCTTTTCATTTTGTTATAGAACACTGTGCTCTTCAACTCACATTGGTCTTATAACACTGAAATTTAAAATCTCTAATGTCAAATTTTACAATGTACAACTGTAAAATCATCACTACTCATTTAATAGAAAAAAGACTGCAAAACTTCTAGATTTTTCATATTAGCTAGGATTGCCTTAAAAAAATTCAGCACTTATTTCATACCTTCACAAACTCTAAGTAGTCGGTGTTGGTTCTTTCTCCACCAAGTCTAACAGGAACTAGAATAATAACAGCTTTGTCATCTGCATTATCAGAGGTCATGGAAGCACTCTGTTTGTCAATTACATCAGAATTGTAAACTGAGAAAAACATAATGAATATGTATTAAATTTTATAAAAGTGATTTTCAAAAATATTTTTACCCAAATTTATCCTCCACCCCGCAATGGACAGCCATCTCATCTCCGGCATCACTAGCAAAGTCTTAGTAAGTTAAAAATACCACTAGGATAACTGGCTAGCCATGCACAGAAGACCGAAGCTGGACCACTTCCTTATACAACGTACAAAAATCAACTTGAGGTGGATTAAAGACTTAAATGTAAAACTCAAAATTATAAAAACCCTAGAAGACAACCTAGGCAATACCATCCTGGGCACAGGAACAGGCAAAGATTTCATGACAAAGATACCAAAAACAATCACAACAAAAGCAAAAATTGACAAACAGGATCTAATTAAACTTAAGGACTTCTGCACAGCAAAAGAAACTATCAAAATAGTAAACAGATAACCTATTGAATGTGAGAAAATATTTGCAAACTATGCATCTGACAAAGGTCTAATATCCAGCATCTATAAGATATTTAAACAAATTTACAAGAGAACAACCCCATTAAAAAGTGGGCAAAGGACATGTATGTTTTCAAAAGAAGACATACATGTAGCCAATAAGTATATTTTAAAAAAAGTTCAATATCACTTATTATTAGAGAAATGCTAATCAAAACCACAATGTAATCTCACACCAGTCAGAATGGTTATTATCAAAAAGTCAAAAGATAACAGATGCTGGCGAGGTTGTGGAGAAAAGGAATGCTCATATATCACTGGTGGGAGAGTAAATTAGTTTAACCATTGTAGAAAGCAGTACGGCAATTCCTCAAAGAGCTAAAAACAAAACTACCATTTGACCCAGTAATCATCACTGGGTATATACCCAGGAAAATATAAATCATTCTATCATAAAGACACATGCACACAAATGTTCATGGAAACACTATTCACAATAGGAAACAGAATCAACCTAAATGCCCATTTGACAGATTAGAGAAAGAAAATGTGGTACATATAACACCATGAAATACTATGAGGCCATAAAAAAAGAATGAGATCATGTCTTTTGTGGCAACATGGTTGGCACTGGAGGCCATTATCCTTAACAAACTAACACAAGAACAGAAAACCAAATACCGCAGGTTCTCACTTAAAAGTGGGAGCTAAATGATAAGAACTGACAAACGCAAAGAAGGGAACAACAGATACTAGGGTCTACTTAAGGGTGGAGGATAGGAGGAGAGAGAGGAGCAGAAAAAACAACTACTGGGTACCAGGCTTAATACCTGGATGATGAAATAATCTGTACCTCAAACCCCTATGACATAAGTTTACATATCTAACAAACCTTCACATGTACCCCGAATCTAAAATAAAAGTTAAAAAAAAAAAACTACTTCATTTATGTATTGAATAGACACTTATTGATAGCTAACTACTTTATGACACTGGGCCTTCAGCAGTAGGCAAAACAGAAAAATTCCCCCCTCCTTGAGCATATACACTAATGGAGGAAACAGACAACAAATATGTAAAATATAAGATATGTGAGATGGGGATACATGTTTTGAAAAAACAAAGAGAGAAGAGTGAACAGGAAATGCTGAGAGGGAGGCAATTTAAAATAAGGTGGCCAGGGAAGATCTTATGAGAAAGTAATATTTGAGTCAAGACTAAATGAAAGAAACCAAGTAATACTGACACCGAAGGGAAAAATATTCCGTGTGAAAAGATCAAAAAGTGCAAATATCTTAAGGTAGAAGTATAATTAGCATGTCCCAGAAACGAGAGGCCAGTCTTCTGAAGGGAAGTAAACAGGGGGTACGTAGCAGGAAATAGGATTAGAAGATGAGATTATAGTTACTGGGGAGAATAAAGACAAGACTGTGTGAACTCTTGAAAGCCATTGTAAAGACCAGTTTTTCAGTGATGGGAAGCCACTGAAGAACTGTTTGGGGATGTCCTAATCTGACTTATACTTAAATAGCCTGTTTCCTGTGTTAGTAATAGACTGTAGGGGAAAGGGGCTGCTCTGCCTATGAAGTAGCCATTTTTTTATTCCTTTACTTTCTTAATAAACTTGCTTTCATTTCACTCTAAAAGCAAAATAGGCTATGGGGCAAGGGCTAAAGCACTCTGAACAGTTAGAAAGCCATTGTAGTTATCCAGCAAGAGATGATGGTGGCTTGAACAAAGGTAGTAACTGTAAAGACAGGAAATAGCCATGTAGAGGAGGTAGAAAGTGATCAGTGTGCCATAATTACAAGGCACAGTGGGTCATGCCTGTAATCCCAGCACTCTGGGAGGCCAAGGTAGGTGGATCATTTGAGGTCAGGAGTTCAAGATCAGCCTAGTCAACGTGGAGAAACCCCATCTCTACTAAAAATATGACAATTAGCCAGGCATGGTGGCAGGCACCTGTAATCCCAGCTACTCCGGAGGCTGAGGCTTGAACCTGGGAGGCAGAGGTTGCAGTGAGCAGAGATCGTGCCACTGCACTCCAACCTGGGCAACAGAGCAAGACTCCATCTCAAAAATTTTTTTAAAAAAGTGATCAGTTTGCCGGGCGCGGTGGCTCACGCCTGTAATCCCAGCACTTTGGGAGGCCGAGGCGGGTGGATCACGAGGTCAAGAGATCGAGATCATCCTGGTCAACATAGTGAAACCCCGTCTCTACTAAAAATACAAAAAATCAGCTGGGCATGGTGGCGCGTGCCTGTAATCCCAGCTACTCAGGAGGCTGAGGCAGGAGAATTGCCTGAACCCAGGAGGCGGAGGTTGCAGTGAGCCGAGATCGCGCCATTGCACTCCAGCCTGGGCAACAAGAGCGAAACTCCGTCTCAAAAAAAAAAAAAAAAAAGTGATCAGTTCATGTATCCGAAGATAAAGGACTCACTATTAAATGTAAGATGTGGGAGAAAAAATTGAGTCACAGGTGATTTGAAGGGTTTTGGTTTAAGCAAACAGAGTAAGAAAGTTGCCATTTACGGCTGGGCGAGGTGGCTCACGCCTGTAATCCCAGCACTTTGGGAGGCCAAGGCAGGTGGATCATGAGGTCAAGAGTTCAAGACCAGCCTGGCCAAGATGGTAAAACCCCATCTCTACTAAAAAATACAAAACATTAGCAGGGCATGGTGGTATATGCCTGTAATCCCAGCTACTCAGGAGGCTGAGACAGGAGAATCACTTGAACCCAGGAGGCAGAGGCTGCAGTGAGCTGAGATTGTGCCACTGTACTCCATCCTGGGCAACAAGAGTGAAACTCCATCACCCCCCCCCAAAAAAAGAAAGTTGCCATTTACAAAGACATGGAAAAATGGAGGAGGGGAAAATATAGAAGGGAGAAATGGAAATTCAGTTTTAGACATGGTAACTTTGAGATACTTGTTAGACAGGTAAGTAGAAAGGTTGAATAGACAGAACATATGCAACTGGAGTTTGGAGAGAGGACTAGGACAGACCTATAAATTTGGGAGTTACCAGCATGCAGATTACCACCTGCATTATAAAGCCACGAGACTTGGTGAATTCAAATCAGTATAGACAGAAAAAGAGATGAGATGAAGTCTAAAGACTGAGCATTGAAGCCCTAACATTTTTAGTGATCAAGGAGATGAGAAAAACCAACAAAGGAGGCTACGAAGGAGTGAATGAGGAGGTAGAGGGAAAATCTACATAGTGTCTAGAAATCAAGTAAACAAAATGTTGTAAGGAGGAAGAGTCAACTGCTGCTGATAGACTGTGTGATATGAGGACTGAGAAGTTACTGCTAGGCTTAGAAAAATTAAGTTATTTGGTAAGAGCAGTTTTGGGGTGGGTACAATGGCTCATGCTTATCCAGCACTTTGGGAGGCTGTGGTAGGAGGATCACTTGAAGCCAGGAGTTCAAGACCAGCCTGGGCAATACAGTGAGACCCTTGCCTCTATAAAAAATTTTAAAATTAGCCAGAGATGGTGATGCATGCCTTTAATGCTAGTTATTTGGGAAGCTGAGGCAGGAGGAACACTTGAGCCCAGGAGTTTGAGGTAACAGTGATCTATGATGGCACCACTGCACTCCAGCCTGGTCAAAAGAGTAAAACCCTGTCTCAAAAAAAAAAAAAAAAAAAGAGAGAGAGAAAAAAAAAGAACACTTCTAGAAGAGTGGTATAGAGTGGTGGCTATGACAGCCTAAGTACCACAGTTCAAGAGAAAACAGTAGGATTTGGTAGAAGCAAATTAGACAAAATTTTATTTTATTCAAATTGAAGTCGTTTTCTTCAAAACATACTTTACACCCGTATGCCTTGTCAGTTTAATGAAACTTTTCTGATCTTCCCAGAAGAGCTGAATAGGAAATTCTGCCACTTCTGTCCAAGTTCTTTCCTTTAAATTCAAAATTTAGACTGAGCTAACAAATTCTTCTCTTTACCTGACTCCCCTATCTCCCATAGTCAGTTGAAACTAAAGCTACAAAAATGTCACGGCAGTTCTCCCTTATCAGGATAGAGATTGCATTCTTACCCTTCATCTTCATTCAACATACATTTATTGAGGATCTGCTATTTCTTGATGTGTTCTATACTAGAGAGGTATAAAATAAATAAGATCCTGACTTCAAAAAATGTCTAGCCTAATCGTTTGGTGTTTTTCCTCCACTTCCTATATATGTAAGGGCTATGACATAGTCCAGTTCTGTAACACAGGTTCATTACAGCAGAGAATCTCAACCAAATGATTCTAATACCTTACCTCTACGCTTGCTACCTCAACAATCATTGATATTATATACAAGAAACAGGAAATTATAAGGTGATATCACAACTGAATCACAAGTACAATATTTAATAGAAGTATCTCCAAAATGTTACAGAGCACAGAGGAAAAGTAAACTAATTCTGCCTAATGACAGTTGGGAAAGACTGCCAAAGGCATAACCTTTGTGCGTGTTCTTGAAGAATGAACAAGACTCAACAGCTACCAAAACAGATATATAGACCAATGGAACAGAACAAGAGTCCTCAGAAATAATACCATACATCTACAACCATCTGATCTTTGACAAACCTGACAAAAATAGGGAAAGGATTCCCTATTCAATAAATGGTGTTGGGAAAACTGGCTAGTCATATCCAGAAAACTGAAACTGGACCCCTTCCTTACACCTTATACAAAAATTAACTCAAGACGGATTAAAGACTTAAACGTAAGACCTAAAACCATAAAAACCATAGAAAAAACCTAGGCAAAACCATTCAGGTGACAGGCATGGGCAAAGACTTCATGACTAAAACACCACAAGCAATGGCAACAAAAACTAAAATTGATTCATGGGATCTAATTAAACTAAAGAGCTTCTGCACAGCAAAAGACACCAGAGCGAACAGGCAAACTACAGAACAGGAGAAAAATGTTGCAATGTATCCATCTGACAAAGGGCTAATATCCTGAATCCACAAAGAAGTTAAATTTACAAGAAAACAGCAACCCCATCAAAAAGCGGGCAAAGGATATGAACAGATACTTCTCAAAAGACATTTATACGAACAAAAAACACATGAAAAAAAGTTCATCACTGGTCATTGGAGAAGTGCAAATCAAAACCACAATGAGATATCATCTCACACTAGTTAGAATGGTGATCATGAAAAAATCAGGAAAAAACAGATGCTGGAGAGGATGTGGAGAAAGAGAAATGCTTTTACACTGTTGTTGGGAGTGTAAATTAGTTCAACCATTGTGGAAGACAGTCTGGCTATTCCTCAAGGATCTAGAACCAGGAATACCATTTGACCCAGCAATCCCATTACTGGATATATACCCAAAGGATTATAAATCAGTCTACTATAAAGACACATACACATGTAGGTTTATTGAAACACTGTTTACAATAGCAAAGACTTGGAACCAACCCAAATGCCCATCAACGATAGACTCGATAAAGAAAATGTGGCCGGGCGCGGTGGCTCACGCCTGTAATCCCAGCACTTTGGGAGGCCGAGGCCGGTGGATCACGAGGTCAAGAGATCGAGACCATCCTGGTCAACATGGTGAAACCCCGTCTCTACTAAAAATACAAAACATTAGCTGGGCATGGTGGCGCGTGCCTGTAATCCCAGCTACTGAGGAGGCTGAGGCAGGAGAATTGCCTGAACCCGGGAGGCGGAGGTTGCGGTGAGCCGAGATCGCGCCATTGCACTCCAGCCTGGGTAACAAGAGTGAAACTCCGTCTCAAAAAAAAAAAGAAAAGAAAATGTGACATATATACACCATGGAATACTATGAAGTCATAAAAAAGGATTAGTTCGTGTCCTTTGCAGGGACATGGATGAAGCTGGTGGAAACCATCATTCTCAGCAAACTAACACAAGAACAGCAAACGAAACACTGCATGTTATCACTCATAAGTGAGAGTTGAACAAGGAGAACACATGGACACAGGGAGGGAAACATCACACACTGAGGCCTGTCAGGGGGTGGGGGGCTAGTATTAGGAGAAATACCTAATGTAGATGACAGAGTGACGGGTGCAGCAAACCACCCTGGCACATATACGCCTGTGTAACAAACCTGCACATTCTGCATATATACCCCAGAACTTAAAGTATAATAAAATAAAAAATAAACTTAACAAGAGGCATTCTAATAATAAAGGACATGCCAAGCAGAGGCAAAGGCATGGGGAAAAAGGGTAATGACATCATGTCTAAGGAATGGCCTGAGAGGGGAAAATACTTTAGTATACTGTGTATGGAAGACAGTGTGAGAAGGTGATGCTGGAAAAGCAGGTCAGGACAAATTATAAAGGACTTCATGGTGCTTCATATGCCAAGACAACATGAGACTAGAGTTAGTGGGCTGTGATTGGTTTGTAGATAAAGGAACATGATCAGTTTATTTTGATCAGATGTACCAAAAAGGGAAGACAGACAAGTAGGGAAATCAAGTTAAAGTTCAAGTGAGAGATAAGAGTCTGATCTAAATCAGCAAGAATAAAGAAGAAAACAGATTTCAGGAACATTTTTTAAAATGCTGACTGACTAAATATAAGCAATGAAAAGGCAGTCAAGAATGAGTAGGTTCTACTTAGGACTTGAGTACATATGTGGGCGTGCCAGTCAAGAGGAAATAGAAAGCAAAAAGGGGTGCGACTGAGGGAAACAGCAGTTTTAAACACACTGAATTTGAAATGTTTGTAGAATATGTAAGTGGAGATATTTGAAAGGTGACAGAAAATGTGAGTTATCACATATTGCCTCAGGTAGGCTTAGAAATGTGGTTTTTTGAGACAGGGTTTCACTCTATTGACCAGGCTGGCATGCAATGTGGCACGATATCAGCTCACGGCAACTATGCCTTTCGGGCTCAAGTGATCCTCCTACCTTAGCCTCCCAAGTAGCTGGGACTACAGGCATGTCACCACTATGCTCAACTAAGTTTTGTATATTTTGTAGTGACGAGGTTTCACCACATTGCCTCTCAAACTGCTGGGCTCAAGTGACTGGGTTTTACCATGTTGCTCAGGCTGGTCTTGAACTGGTGGGCTCAAGTGATCTGCCCACCTCAGCCTCTCAAAGTGCTGAGATATAGGTGTGAGCCACCATGCTTGGCCCTAAAAATATAGTTTTAAAAGTCCTAGTATACAGCATTTAAAGCCATGAAAATAGATGTAATTACAAAGGAAGAGAACACAGAATAAGAAAAAAATAATAATAAATGGAAAACAAAACCTTTAAAAACAGAAATCATGGACAGAATCTGGTTTCACTTAATCCCAAATCTCGCAGTCTATCAAAACTATACAAATACAATTTCTCCCTTTAGGAGACTTAAACGTGAATAAAAAAATTTAAGAACTACTTCAAATTACACAAACCATTTCTATAACAAAGAACATTGTAATGTTTGCTTAATTATATGTAATAAAGATCTAGGCTGACTGTGTCAATAAAAACACAAAAGACAAATTCATACATTTATTTAATGATTACTTGTTTAGGTACATCCTTATTGTTAATTGGAACTATTTAACACAGCAAATTTTTTGCAAGACTTCCTACTGGAAAAATAAAAATAGTATCTGCAAAACTCATATATTTATCTAAAAATGTAGACCTTTTCTTTTCATATGGCTATAATTACGGATATTAGTCTTTCTTTAAAAGGAAACTAATCTTAACAAAAGGCCAAATAAAAATGCAGGGTAACCTTAAGCATTTTACAGATATCCTTGTATTAAAACATGATTGAAGTATATTTAACTTTTCTAAAACATTAACATATTTTATAATTGTAATAGTATTTCTGTAAAAAATATTTACTTAACAGCATGATGTGGCCAAGCCATTTTTATTTTATTAAGAATTAAGGTCTCTATTTTATCCCCAATAAAGTTTCAAAATTAATATACATTGAGCATTCCTACTCCAAAATCTGAAACTTTTAGAGCACAACATTTTTCACAAGTGAAAAATTCTACATGTGACTGCACGTGACAGGTTGCAATCAAAACAGTCAAAACTTTGTCTCATGCACAAAATTATTAAAAACCGTGTATGAAATTTCCTTCAGGCTATGTGTATAAGGAGTATACAAAACATAAATGAATTTCATGTTTAGACTTCAGTCCCATCCCCTAGATATCTCATTACATACAGGCAAATATTGAAAGGTCCAAAAAACGACAAAATCGAAAACACTTGTGGTCTCAAACATTTTGGATAAAACATACTCAACCTGTAGAGAGAGAGATCATCAAAAAGAAGACCCAAAACAATAAAACAAAGCAAATCTGGACAATAGCTGCATCATTATTAGATGATTTACTAAAGTATTAATGAGAAATATATTCAATTCCTCATAATACAAACTAAGAATTTTCTTTCCTTGAAACACATCTACCAATAAAATGGTACCTAGCATACATGCAGCCAAAGTATATACGTATGTTGAATTTTCCTGCCTATCTCTTTTTAAGTAATCTGAAATGCTGAAATTCTTTGAGAATTTATTTTAATATTACATCAAAAAATTCATAGTATGTATTCAATCAAAAAATATTTGTTAAGTGCTTACTACATTTAGGAACAAAAATGTATAAGACATGGTCCCTGCCTTCATAATCATTGCAGTATTACTGGGATGATAAACTAAACACATATAAAAAGTATGACCAAATAAAACCGATAAAAATTAGAATTATATACATTCCTTACCTGTACAATCTTGTGCAACATAAATAGTTATTCCTTGTAAATCTGGGTGTCTTGCTTCTTCAACTGCTTTTCTGAGAAAATAACAAGCATTATCTTTCAAAATCCTAACATTTCCTATTGGTAATAAAGATTTAATTTAAGAAGGAAAAAGGTCATCATTTTTGTGATGTTCTTACTCAACTCATAGTGTCTGCTGTCAAAAACTATTTTCTGAATGGTATCAGAAATCAGATTAAAATTTTCAAAGTTGAATACTACATTAAATTACTCAAAGAACATTAAAACATAAATCACAAAATAATTTTAAAAATTATTGGGTATAAAGCTCTACTCCTCTCCCTCCAAAAAGAAGTATTTCTCTCAATCACTCACCTTACCAGTGGTACGAATATGCTACAAGATACGCTGCAAATTAACTTACATTACTGACTAGGAGTCAGTTACTGTGTATGTCCTCTGGTACACTTAAGAAAGTTTTCATTCTTTAAACAATAGCATGACTTTTTTTCTACATTCAAAAACCTATATAACCTGAACAAATGAATTTTCTAATTTCAAATCTTAAAATTGTATAAAAGTAAAACTATAAATTAAAAAATATTCCTGGAGACAGACCTAGCCTCCCAGTCTCCATCTTTCTCCTGTGCTGGATGTTTCCTGCCCTCATGATGATGAAAGTGATAATGTAAGCAAATTTTTTGCTTTCTGTTCCCATGATATTACATTCTGCTGGCCTAGAGGTCTTAGTTCCAGAGGGAGGAATGCTGCCACTAGGAGACACAACAATTCCATTAAACTGGATGGTAAGATTGAACAGAATGGGCTCCTCCTATCTTTAAGTCAACAGGCTAAGAAAGGAGTTACAGTGTGGGGTGGGGTGACTGACCCAGACTAGCAAGATGAAATCAGTCTACTTTTCCACAATGGAGGTAAGGAAGAGTATGCATGGGACGGGTGTGATGGCTCACGCCTGTAATCCCTGCACTTTGGGAGGCCGAGGCAGGTGGGTGGATCATGAGGTCAGGAATTCACGACCAGCCTGGCCAAGATGGTGAAACCCCTGTCTCTACTAAAAATACAAAAATTAGCTGGGCATGGTAGCAGGGGCCTATGATCCCAGCTACTCAGGAGGCTGAGGCAGGAGAATCGCTTGAACCCAAGAGGCAGAGGTTGCAGTGAGATATTGTGCCACTGCACTCCAGCCCGGGCAACTGGGCGAGACATCGTCTCAAAAACAAACAAAAAAGGGTACGCATGGAATACAGGAGACCCCTTAGGGCATCTCTTAGTACTACATGCCCTGTGATTAAGGCCAATGGGAAACTACAACAGCCAATCCAGGCAGGGCTACAAATGACCCAGACCCTTCAGGAATGAAGGTTTCAGTCACTCCACCAGGAAAAAAACCACGACCTGCAGACGTGCTTGCTGACGGCAAAGGGAATACAGAATGGGTAGTAGAAGGTAGTCATAGATAGCAGCTATGACTACCTGGCCAGCTGCAGAAACGAGAACTGTAATTGTCATGATTATTTCCTCTTTCTTTTGTTAAAAACATGTTTGTGCAGGTATACACTTGTACTGAGAAAATATCTTCATTTGATTCCCTTGTCCTTTATCATGTGACATAAGATTTATTGACTTAATATCAGGATTTAAGTATTCCTAACTTTATGTGATGGCATTTGGGTTGGGGATTGGTTCGTTTCTGGGTGTATGAAGAATAATTATGACCTTATGATTGTCTTTATTTGAAGATTATGTGTGGTCTCAGGAGATGTGTATGGGTTCAAGTTGATAAGGGGTGGACTTGTGATGGTTAATACTAAGTGTCAACATGATTGGATTCAAGGATGCAGGGCGTTAATCCTGGGTGTTCCTGCAGGGTGTTACCAAAGGAGATTGATTAGCATTTGAGTAAGTGGGCTGGGGAAGGTAGACCCACCCTTAATCTGGTGGGCAGAATCTAATCAGCTGCCAGCAAATATAAAGCAGGCAGGGAAATGTGAAAGGCTGAAAGGGGCCTGGCCTCCCAGTCTACATCTTTCTCCTGTGCTGGATGCTTCCTGCCCTCGAACATCATCAGACAGCAAGCTCTTCAATTTGGGACTCAAACTGTTTCTCCTTGCTCTCAGCTTGCAGACAGACTATTGTGGGACCTTGTGATCCTGCTTTCTTAGTTGAGCTGTCTTCCTGAGGTTATTTGGAGCTGCTGCCTCATGGGTAAAGAACTCCCTAAAGCCAGTCCCAACAAGCCCGCACTGAACATCAAGAAGTCTGACAGATTCTTCTAATACAAGAAGCTCACCAACAATGTGCTAGTCTTTTTAATCAACAGACAACTGAGCAGGCACAGAAGTGACATCGACCTGTCAAGGTGACTGTGGATGCTGTCATAAAGCAACTCCAGGGTGGACATGGCCTTGGACAAAAAGTCACGTGGCTTATGTGCTGAGGCCTGCCCAGAATTTAGAGAAATTAAACATAATGAGAACAATAAAGTCCTCCCATGCTTAAACCATTTTTTTTTTTTTTTTTTTTTTTTTTTTGGAGTCTTGCTCTTTCGCCAGGCTGGAGTGCACAATCTTGGCTCACTGCAACCTCCGTCTCCTGGATTCAAGCGATTTCCCTGCCTCAGCCTCCTGAGTAGCTGGGACTACAGGTGTGCACCACCACACCAAGCTAATTTTTTTTTTTTGTATTTTAGTAGAGATGGGGTTTCACCACAACCAGGATGGTCTCAATCTCCTGACCTCATGATCCACCCGCCTCAGTCTCCCAAAGTGCTTGGACTACAGGCGTGAGCCACTGCGCCCGGCCTATATATTCTTAAGTATAATGTTCTCAATGGTGTACATGATGTGAAAAAAATCACAATAACAATATCTGTGAATGGTGATTATGCAAATTCTGGAAATACAATTTTATTTAACAATATCTTTATATGTAATTCTTTCATTTAAAATGCCTTATTATTCATGTTCCTATGTGTTAGCGTAGAAGAAAGATTGGCAAACTAACCCCATAAGCCAAATACAACCTGTGGCCTGTTTTTGTACCATCTGCAAGCTAAGAATTGTTTTGGCAGTTTTAAGAGGCTGGAGGGAGAAGAAAGATGGCCAGCAGAAACCTTTATAAGACCTGTGAAGCCTAAAATATTTGTCACTTCACAAAGTTTGCTGTCTCCCACAGTAGAGAACATCTTGAAGGGAAGAAACTATGCTTTTAGGATTATGCTTTCATAAATGTCATACCAAGTTGGAATTGATACAGAATTCACAATCCAATTAATAACATTAGGCAAACACTTTTCAACTGTAAGCATCTGGCCTATAAAATACAGAAGCATGTTAATATCCAAAAAATGCTTTGTAATGATTTCAGATTTACATATGATTTTAAATGGAGTAAATTTATCACAACATGCTATACTTATATGACATATTAATGATTTAGTTTATAACAAAAATGGGATATACACACAAATAAGATTTTTAAAAAAACGCTTAGTATTGAAATAAATGGCGCATAAAAAGCTGAAGTGACATTGGACTTTTAACTTTTTTCTAACTATCCTGAATATCACAGATCCTTTACTTTTACTATAATTATAATAGTAATAGTCCTATACATTTACAGTTCACGAGATTTTGATGTGTACAAACAAATGCTGAAAACATCAATTTTAACTCTTGACATTTTATTACACTATCAGTACATTACAGCCCACAGGTTACACTATTAAAAAAAACTATAATGTTATGAATGTTCCAAGGTTGAAAGAGATGTTAGTGTTTAGAACATTTCAATAAGGGGTTCTAATGAAAACCTGGTTAGAAAGAGACCTGGGATATCTATACCTAAGAGAAAGAGAAGAAAAATTTGTCAGTAAATAAATTAAATGTAACTAGAGTCACAATATGTCTTCTTTTTTCTCTATTGGCAAATGAAAACATCTTAGCATTCTCATACAGTTAAGACTTTTAAAGTTCCAATTATATATACACATTGCAAAAATCAGTATCTCTTGATCCTGAGGACCTCTTTCACAGGGAGAAAGATTTTAAAACAATTTACCTTAAAATGTGAGCAACCACAGCTGGTCCATACCAATCTCCTGCTTTTTTCCCAGATTTCTTTCCATATTCTATTAGTTGATGTAAGCCAAAAACAGCCAAGGGGGAATCACCAAACCAAGATATGATTTTCCTGTGATAAATTTCATTTCGCATTTCATGATCATCAGAATATTTCCCAATTGTTTCTTTCAGAGAAATCGTTGGGGTTTTGAGTTCTCTTTCCCCTGAAAGCGATGCTTCAAATGATGCTGTAAATTTTTTGACAGTGTGGGAAGTCCATGATTCAGAGTCTGAATTTTCAATATTCAAAGCATCAGGCCAGGTCCAAGCTATAGTAGTTCCAAAGCAAAGTGTTCAGATCTTTTAAATAGTTACTTCAACAATTTTACTAAAATAAATACATAGCATTTATGGTCATATGGGTTACTAAAATAAGATAGTAAATTCAGAAATAAGCAAATACATGAAAACAGAAAGTAGATTAATGGTTGCTTATGGGGAGGTATTGGGAGAAGCTGTTAATGGGTACAAGGTTTCTTTGAGGAATGATGAAAGTGTTCTAAAATTAGATTTATGGTGATGATTGTGGAACTCTGTAACTAGCTAAGAACCACTGAATTGTTCACTTGAAAGGAGCGAATTTATGATAGGCTATATCTCAATAAAATGGTACTCTTCTGTAGTTTCTAAAAAGTCATATAATCAAAAAAAATTACAAAAATACAAGACAAAAGAAAGAAAAAATAGTAACCTTGGGTAAAAATGGACAATCCCAGGTGTTCTTTTTTCTGTTCTTTGATAGTGCTGAGACAGAATAAAGACTTTTGTATTTCATTATCAAACTGCTTATCAAACATCTAGTCTTGACCACCCAAAGGTACAAGAAACATTATAATACTAGTAAAGAGGATACCAGGCAGGGAGTGGTTCATGCCTGTCATCCCAGGACTTGGGAGGCTAAGGCACAGAATGGCTTAAACCTAGGAGGTGGAGGTTGCAGTGAGCCGAGATTGTGCCACTGCACTCCTGCCTGGGGAACAGAGCAAGACTCTTTCTTTAAAAAAAAAAAAAAAAAAAAAAAGATATCTTCAGAAACTGGATGTTTTGATTATATGTTAAAATAGAAGTCTGATCATAGAAATTTTAAATTTTTTTCAAAGTATTTTCCTGTACATTTCTTCAGAATAACTTAATCATTATTTACAGAGTAATAACAATTCTCTAACAGTTAATAAATGAAATCATAAAAGATCAAAGACCTCAAAAAATCAAATATATCCATTATGTCAAAGTTTTGAATAACAAGACAATCCCCAAACATGCATGTAATTTTAAGTTAACAAAATAAGTCACAGATTCAGAGATCTAGTGAGGACTGAAAAATATTCCAATCTTTGCCCATGACTGCACAAGACTATAAATAAATCATCCCAGAAAACCAGTTTAAAAATTATTTTCCCTTGCATTTTCAACACCATTCTTCAATAAACATTCTCTCTAAATAATCTCATCAATAATCTCTACAGAAAAGTTACTAAATAAATGACATGTATGGTAAGGATACTGTCTAACATTTATAATCTGATAATATTTGATAATAATCAAATCTGATATCCTAAAATCATAAACTAAAATCCTAAAATCATAAACTAAAATATTCCTACAAATGTACATATTATTAAAAATAGACCAACAGAAAGGTGGCACATTAGGAAAAAAATATATATGTAAGTTAAGTATCAATGACATTTTTTAGGGTCTAAAACATTGTATGATGACCTTATTAGAAATATGTATAGTGCCAGGCACAGTGGCTCACACCTGTAATCCCAACATTTTGGGAGGGCGAAGTGGGAGCATCACTTGAGCCTAGGAGTTCACGACCAGCCTGGGCAACATAGTAAAACCCCATCTCTACAAAAAAATTTAAAAATTAGCCAAGCATGGTGACATGCACCTGTAGTCCCAGCTACTCAGGAAGCTGAGGCAGGAGGATAGTTTGAGCCCAGGAATTCCAAGTTGCAATGACCTATAATTACATCACTATACTCTAGCCTGGGCAACAGAGACCCTATTGCTAAAAAATAAAAATAAAATAATTTATAAATTAAAAAAATTTAAAGGAGTATGTCTGATTGATTTAATATAATTGACCACAATCACACTAACAAAAGTAAAAATACTTTTAAACCATTATTAGCATGTAGGGAAAAAATAAAAAACAAGAGTAAAGCCTCTTAAGATTTAAAAAATATTATGTATCTCCCCAGAGTCACTGTTATTGACCTGCCCAGGACTTAACTGGAGATAATCCAGAGTTCAACCAAAAGGAAAAAAAAATAGTAACAACAATGAAATCCAAAGCGTACTAAAAATTGAACTAATTTAACTCATAATGGTGACCAAGAATAACAGGTATATTTAACCTGCATTTTTGAAAAGGGAATCAGGAAAGTTTACATACAAGTCATATCTGACCTAGTTCAAAAAAAACCACAATACACTAAATTAGTTACAACTCCTTAGAAAACCTGACAGTCAAGAAATCAACTTCAGGGCATTTCATGCAGTTTGTAAACTGGAGTTCAAATGGAAAAATGTCGCTAACAAAAACAAAAAAAACAGATTTGATTTACCTCTACCAAGAAAGTGTAGTATGAGTCCCTGAGCCAAGAGCATCTGGCCAGTTCTCAATGTACAGCCCCAACCACAGTCTGTTGTCAAAGCTGAGCCTTCTATTTGAGGAAATTCTTCCCTGTAGGTCAGCCATATTCTAGAAATGAAATCTTTACGAAATTCTTCTACATTTCCTGCAATTACGTGATCCTCTATTGTACATCCGGATGTTGTAGGTAACATTTTATCTTCATCTAAAAAAACAAACATATAGTCCATAGATAACCAGAGAAACGTCTGTAATCATAACAATACATTATCATTACTGTCTTAAGATGTGAAGTGTGTCACAATCTTTCTAATCCTTTTTTACTAATTTTAAAAGATAAATCTTATTCTGCCTAATCAAGCTGCTATGAAAATCAAGTTAGAATGAATTCTGAAATGTTTTACATACTGTAGAGTTAACTAATATAAAGTATTATCAATAATTCTCTTGTTATTAAGAATAATATCCTATATTCTATACATAATTAACTCTCTGAAGAGGGGACATAGACAAGGTTATAAGATTTCTCACTTGAAACAAAAGAAGCAAGAATATAGTGCAGCAACATCTTTAAAGTACTGAAGAAGAAAAACTCATCAACTCAGAATCCTATACACTGTAAAAGTATCTTTCAAAAATAAAGGCAAAATACTTTTTCAGATATACAAAAGCGGGAAGAAGACATCACCAGCCAACCTGCATTAAAAGAAACCTTAGCCAGATGTGGTGGCTCACACTTATAATCCCCAGCTCTTTGGGAGGCTAAAACAGGAAGATTCCGGCTGGGGGTGGTGGCTCATGCCTGTAATCTCAGCACTTTGGAAGGCCGAGGCAGGTGGATCACTTGAGGTTGAGAGTTCAAGACCAGCCTGGCCAACGTGGTGAAAACCTGTCTCTACTAAAGATAAAATAATTAGCCAGGAATGGTGTTGGGCGCCAGCTACTCAGGAAGCTGAAGCAAAGGAATCATTTGAACCTGGGAGGCAGAGGTTGCAGTGAGCCAAGATCATGCCACTGCACTCCAGCCTGGGCAACATAGTGAGATCCCCATTTCTACAAAAATAAAAAATTAGCCAGGTGTGGTGGCATATGCCTGTAGTCCCAGATACTTGGGAGGCTGAAGTGGGAGAACTACTTGAGCCCAGGAGGTTGAGGCTGCACTGAGCCATGGTCACACTGGTCCAGATAGAAATACAGATTCACACAAAGGAATAAAGGACACCAAACATGATATCCTCTTCAAAAGATATTTGACTATTTAAACAAAAATAATAGCAATTTATTATGGGGTATATAACACATAAATAAGTAAAATGTATGTATAACATAAATAAGTAAATGTATGTTAACAATATCATAAAGACCAGGGGGGAGAAGGTGAAGTATACTGTAAGGTTCTTTACTACATGCTAATTGGCGTATCACTTGAAGGCAGACTGTGATAAGTTAGAGATATATACTATAAACCTTAAACCACTAAAATAATAATCGAAAGTTAGAGCTAATAAGCCAACAAAAGAGATAAAAGAGAATCACAAAAATACTCAATCCAAAAGCAGGCAGAAAAGGAAGAAAAGAGAACAGAGTAGATTTAACAAATAGAAAGCAAATAATGACATGATACATTTAAACCTAACTTTATCAATAATCATATTACATGTAAATAGTTTAAACACATTTATTTATTTAGTTTTAGTTTTAGTTTTTGAGAAGGAGTCTCGCTCCGTCACCCAGGATGGACTGCAGATGCAAGCTTGGCTCACGGCAACCTCCATCTCCAGGGTTAAAGCAATTCTGTGTCTCAGCCTCCCGAGTAGCTGGGATTACAGGCATGCACCACTACGCCAGGCTGATTTTTGTATTTTTAGTAGAGATGGGGTTTCTCCATGTTGGCCAAGCTGGTCTCAAACTCCCAGCCTCAAGTAATATACCCGCCTTGAGCTCCCACTGTGCCTGGCCCTGAACACCTTAATTTAAAATGCAGAGATTATCAGATTGGATAAAAAAGCATGACTCAGCTAGTACTTCCTATAAAAAACATATTTTAAATGTAGAGACACAAATAGATTAAGCGTAAAGGATAAAGGATGAGAAAAGATATACTATGCAACTTTAAGCAAAAGAAAGCTGAAGTGGCTATATTAATATCAGACAAGTAGACTTCAGAGCAAAGAAGGAATAAAGAAGGTCATTTCATAACTACTAAGGAGTCAATTCATAAAGAAACAATAATAATTCTAAATGTTTATGCACCTAATAACAGAGCTTCAAAATACAGTTAATAAGTATTTTATGTTAATGTTGTCAATAAGTTCTTAAAGACTGTGACTTTAAGCAAAGCAACATAAAATAAAATCAATTTTTTTCTCATCATTGTTATAATGAAATGAAGTTGAACAAAAGGATGTTGAGGACTGCTGTACATCGTTTCACCTAAAGTTGCAGTTTCCAAGAACCTATCTATGACATTAAGTAGAAATTGCTATAAAAGAAGCAAAAACTGATAGAACTTCAGGAAGAAATAGACAAATCCACAATGACAGATGTAAAATCATTTTGGTCCCTGAGATACAACTAATATACCAGAGATAACCCCAAATTATAATTTTTCCTTAATGGCTCTTAGGCCCATCATGTCCTGGCCATCTAAGAGAAACCCTGAAAAAATCCTAGCCAGATTATAGCATGGTATCTGTGGTAAGACAAGGCTTATAAAAATAAAATAAATTCTTAATTGCTTTCTTCATAGACAACTCACAGTCAAATTGGAATTTTTTTTTTTTTTTACTTTTCGTATTTGGTCTACATAATATCAAGAGGGCCACTTGGATTTATATGCCATATACCTTGACATAACAGTGCACAGCATGATACATAGAGAAGGAAAAACTGTATAACACAAGGAAATAAGTTTGTACCTCAGAAAGGTAGCAAGATAAGTTTAAAAGCTTGAGAAATCAGGACAGATTTAACATTATTAAAATAACCTAATTTTTGCAACCATGTTCTAATATTACTAGAAATAACAGAGACAGAATCAAGTTTAAGAATCTTGTATTAAAATGTTATGAGTTCATTGTAGATGACTCAGACAGTAGTAGTGATATAAAACCACTGTGGCTGAAAGCCGCTACCTTCAAAGCACTTAGACTTGTAAGACATCAGATTGTCAATGCCTTCAAATAGAAAAGGAATTGAAACAAAAGAACAAAACTATCTATCAGATAAATGCCACAGAAAGTGAGAGATGAGTGACTCCAGCCAAAGTAACTTCCCTAAAATCCTTAGGAAAACAAAAGTAACTACTAGAAAATGTCTATATGATAGAAAGATATTAAAGAACCAAAAATTTAAGTAGAAATACAATCCAGTTAGAAATAGACTTCAAATATTAATTTGAATTCATGCATTTGTAAGAAAAACACTGAAAACATTTATTTGTTCTAGCTTGTCCAATGAAACGGCCAGGGTCAATAGCATCCCCACAAAGCATCTTTGCACTCAGATTATGGTCTCTAACACTTTTTCTGCTAAACACAACAAAACAAAATAGCAAAAAAAAAAAAAAAAAAGAAAACAAAAAACAAGGACTCATTGGGAAATTGCTAGCTTCCTATCTGATACCAAAAAGTACAAAGTGAGTCTGAACATGTGGTCTGGTAGAAAGCAAAATGTTATGTAAGATTAATATGGTTTTGTTGAAAGACACAGAAGCAAATCTCAAAGGATCTTCCACTGGCCAATGTCATGACAATTTGAGCATCAAAAATTATTGGTTGAGATCAACCAACATACAGTAAGTCTGAAAAGCCATAAGTGTGTAATGATAAAAAAAAAAATGTTAGCATTAAAATATCTTAAATGAGGAGAAGAGAATATTATATTTTCACTGAGGCAACAAAGAAAGTCTTGAAAAGGCAAGGCAATAACCTCTGGACATGTTAAGAACTAGAAATTCACCAAAGTAAAATCAATTATAGGATTCACAAATCTTTATATATTCTGGGTTTATATACCCACAGAGGAAAGAAATTAGTCCCCCATAATCAACAGACCCTGATATCATGTATTCTAAAAGTTTAAAAGCTCCACTAACAAAAATATCCTTAATGCTATTCTCTCATTATCATGCTGCCCTTTGTTCTTCTGAATAAATACTCCCATTCCCTTTAACCTTACCTGGTTTCCTCTGGGACTCCCCTTTATCAGATTTACAGTGGCTCCCTTGTTTCATACTTTACCTTGTTTACTGTGACTCTCTGTTTTCAAAATGTATATTTGAATCTCTTTTCAAATTCATATTTGACCTAATTTACTAGTAATCCTCTTTTCATAATTATATTTATGAAATTAGTATCACTTAAATTTGCATGCTTCTAACTAAAAGGGTCTCCCTCCCTGTGGATAGCAAAGCAATTTGTGGAAAGGTATAATAGGGTGGTTTTGGTTTATACTCATTAGAAAAATATATAATGGATAATACTAACATACATGTGACATTCTTTGGCAAACGGCCAATTCCCCTCATTCCTTCCAGCATGCAGACAGTTTTAGTGAAGAGCAAATACGATATTTCCAAAATTTTGAGAATACAGTCTTATTTCCAAAATAAACAAAAATGTACATTTGTTGCTTATAATGGCAAAAAATAAAAGCAATCCAAATATCTATCAATGGCAGAATGAATACTCAGTGGCAATTCATACAATGAAATATCACGCAGTAGTAAAAATAAACCAGAACTACCCACAACACCACTGACAAACCTCAAAAATGCAACTTGGAAAACCATAAGCAAAGCACAGAAGCAAAATATAGCTTGATTCCATTTACAAAAATGTAAAAACGGGAAACACTAAATAATCAAAGACACTTCAGGATAATGGGGTTGTGTTTGGCATAGGTAGACACACAACTGAGTAGAAGCATGAGGAGATTTAAAATTACTCATAGTAGGCTGGGCACAGTGGCGCATGTCTGTAAACCCAAAGAGGCTTTTTTTTGGGCGGCCAAGGTGGGCAGATCACTTAAGGTCAGGAAAATGAGGCCCGTCTGGCCAATGTGCTGAAACCCCAGCTCTATTAAAGACAAAAAATGTGGGGCCGGGCGCGGTGGCTCACGCCTGTAATCCCAGCACTTTGGGAGGCCGAGGTGGATGGATCACAAGGTCAAGAGATCAAGACCATCCTGGTCAACATGGTGAAA